TGAGATAAAAATTTACATCATTTCATAGGCAGTGACTGGTTTGTCAAGTGGCTAGGAACTGGGAATGTAAACGTTTTGGACTAGGTCTTTGGAATAGGGCCTCTCAAAGTAGCCCCAGAGTATGAGGCGGGAGAAGCTGGGCAGCGCCTGGCGCCACCGAACGTCCGGGACACACGCGGCTTCCTCCGCTGGAGGGTCCTCTCTCCGCGCCTGGGCCTTCACGACCCCTCCCGCGACCTTGGCCCCGAGGCCAGGTGCTTACTTGCCGCTCTCCACGCAGTGGCCGAGACCCGGCTAAGCAACCCGGGAAGCCTCGATAGGGTCATGGCGCCGACTCCCTGAACCTCCGCGCAGGCGCAAAGCAGTAGGGGGAGGAGCAGGCGGCAGGATCCGGAGCCTTCCTGCGGGGGCGGGGCCTCCGTGGCCGGCTTTAGAAAAGGAGTTAGAGTCATTCCTAGGGTCTTTCGCCAAGAAAGACTCAAGCTACCTTGAACCCCGTATTAAAACGCCAAATCCTTGCTGAAATTAGAAGAGGGAATAATTACGTTCATGCCTGTCAGTCTACGCCGAAAGGTCCCGTGGAAGATCCCTTTTATAGTTTACAAAGATTGAGCGCCTTTTACTCTCTTACTCACGTAAAATGCTTCTTTTACCTAATTCTCCCTGTTTTGTGTTTTAAATGTTTGTGCAGTCAGCTCCTAGTTCGTCCATTCTGGCCGACTAACCAGATAATATGAAAGGCGACATTTTTGAATGAGGTGCAGAGTAAGAGAAGGCTCTCCATCCAGGCCAGGATCCAGTGCAAGGAGCTCTGCCACTTGACCCTTATATCCCAACAGCTCTAACAGTGTTGAGTGGTATGTGGCAGACCTGGATGCTTTGTGCAACTCGTGGAAATCTTTACAGAATCATAGTGAAGGCCCCCAGAATTCTGGAATTGTATCTTTTCTTTTTTTAGAAAAAGTTTCTGGCTAGCTATTGGGCCTTGGTAGTGTCTGACCATGTGACATCAAGTGGCTAGGCGATCGAAGTTTCTCATCATGAACTGAGAATTATCTGGTTCTCCTAGATAAGGAGATCCTTTCACGAAAAGAAAGTGGGCCGGGCATGGTGGCTCGCTCCTGTAATCCGATCACTTTTGGAGGCCTAGGCGGGTGGATCACCTGAGGTCAGAAGTTCGAGACCAGCCTGGCCAACAAGGCAAAACCCCGTCTCTACTAAAAATACAAAA